TTGTCAGAGAAGTAACTTAGCTGAGTTCGTTCTTGTTGCCACCTTGCTTTTGAGCCTCTTGGTTAATGTATGAAAGCAGAGGAACTGCTTTCATCTGAGGCAGACAGTGGCAAAGTTCCCATGGCAGGAAATGTTTGTTCTTACAAATCTCATACGTGGTGGTCACAAGGGAGACCTTCGTATTTTGTTTTGCTTGTCTGGGCTTTACCATAATTTGATGATTGTTTCAGTGTTTTTGCCTGAGAACTAACTGTCTAAGAGAAAAGACTGTGATGCACTTGCCCTTAGGGACCTTCTTAGTCAGCCCCAATCTACCTGTCCAGTTTTAGCTCCCGCTTCTCCTCTTGGCAAATCCGTTTTGTACTACAACCAGGCTAGTGGTCTTTTAAAAAGTGTTCTCTGAAGTAACAATCCCTGTTTCTGTTGACAGAAAAAAAATATGATAGAAACAAAAACAAAGAGTTGATGACTCCTGAGATTGGGAGGGAGGAATGGGAGCAGGTGAGAAATAACTTACTGAAGGGAAATAGAGATTTTTGTATCGGAGGGCAGTAGGGAGTGTTGAATGAGAAGAGTGGAGTCAGATAGTAGAGCTGAGAACTTGGGACTTGATGTAATTTAAAATAGGGAAAGGGGAAAAGGTGATGAAAGTGGTATTTTAGGACTGTTTTTTTCTCTTAACAAGATTAACCCTAAGCATAGATTTAAGAGATATACGAGTAGAGGCAAGAGTTATCCAGGCCCAGTTATAGTAATACACGTGTCAACTGAAGTTCTAGTTGTTAGCAGTAAGAATTGTGGGGAACATTTTCACTTGAGAAAAGTCAAGTTGTAACAGCTCACAGGTTGGAGGTGAAAGAACACAGTCAAAGATGATTCCGATGGTTTGGAGTAAAAGAAAAGTCAAGCCATTAACACCTGTGAAGGCGATGAATAAAGAAACCTGTTGGTTGAAGACAGAAGCTGGGCAAGATGAGTTCCTTTTGGGATTAGTTAGGCTTCCTGTGATGGTGGAATATCCAAATTATAATGTTTATCGGCAGTTGGAAAAATGGAGTCTGGCATGGATGAAAGGTTGGGGTTCAGAGTGTAGACTTAGGAGTCATTGCCATTTTTTTAGGAGCAAGTAGATAGAAAGAAAAGAGAGCACCAAGGATTGAGGGGAGAAATCCTCCAGTGCAGGCGTATGAAGAAAAGAACCAACGAAACAAAAGAAGCAAGAGCTAAATGATGGAAAGGCTTGAGGCCAGTGCGATGAATGCTATACTGTGGAAGCCAAGGTCAGGGCTGTGAGAAGGAAGGAGAGGTCAACAATGAGGGACTGCAGGCAGATCAGAGTAGACAAAAACTTAGGAGAAGCCTTGGGGTTTAGCAAGAGGGAGGTTCCTAACCTTTGTTTATAATTCCAGTGAGAGAGGAAACCTTTAACCAAGCAAGATAGTTACCTGAGAAGAGTCACACATTCCATCAAGCATCCCTTTTCTGGATGCTGTGATCCAGAATCCCTGCCGTGCTGAATCACAGTCTGTCAGATCTACTGAAGAACTATCCCTTTCCTTTATTTCATTATTATATGCCTATTCTTTTTTTTTTTCCAATTAAATTTTGCAACTTGTCCTCTCCAGCCTAGAGAGGGCTTGTCACTATTGTTATTGAACAACATAGGTCACAACCAGTAAAACTTTTTTCTATTCTAACACATTTTCTGATGAAAATTAAATATATACCAAGCAATAAATTTGGTTCTCTATTGTCAAACTTAACAGCAAGAAACTCTTTGTTAAACATTGAACTGTTTCATTTCCTCTCAAGATAGCATTTTATTCTTTATATTTCCTTTTCTTTTCATTTATTTATTTATTTATTTAGTTATTTATTTTGAGAGAGAGGATCTTGTTATGTTGCTTAGGCTGCAGTGCAGTGGCACAGTCATTGCTTACTGTAACCTCAAACTACTGGGCTTCAGTGATCCTCTTGCCTTGGTCTCCTGAGTAACTGGGACAACAGGTGTGTGCCATCATGCCCAGTTAATTTTTTAAAAACAATTTTGTAGAGATGAGGTCTCTCTGTGCTGTCCAGACTGGTTTCAAACTCCTGGTCTCAAGCAATCCTCCTGCCTCGGCCGCCAAAATTGCTAGGATTAAAGGTCTGAGCCACCGTACCTGGAATTATATTTCTCTTTTATGTTCTTTTTTCTAAAATTTAGATTAAGATTGAGATTAGGTGTCTTACCCTTTATGTTGCTATAAGAGAATACTAAAGAATGGGTCATTTATAAGAAAAAATTTATTCCTTACAGTTCTGGAGGCTGAAGTCCAAGGCCAAGGGGCCACATCTGATGAGGGCCTTCTTGCTGGTGGGACTCTCTACAAAGTCCTGAGATGGTACAAGGCATCACATGGTGAGGGGGCTCATGAGAGTTGGCTAGACTGGCTTTTATAACAGACTCACTCTCCTGGTAAGTAACTCACTCCCTCCATAACCCATTAATTACTACTCAGCAATAAAAAGAAAAAGGCTATTGATACAATATGGATGTCTTAAAAAACATACATCCGACTACAGGATATGGCGGAGTCTGGGCACTGTGTGGCTGGACCCCCAGCTCTGGGGCCACGCCACGGAACTGCTTACTGCTGCAGCTTTTGGGGTCACCCGGCTGCCGCTGTTACAGTCTTCCCCCGCATCAGAAGGTTCCATTGCCTTCTCTTTCCCCCACAATGCAGTCAGGCACCATAGCCCATTGGGAAAAAAAAGATGGGGGCAAAATAAACAAAGGTGACCCAATTGCAGAAGTTGAAACTGATAAAGCCACTGTTGGATTTGAGAGCCTGGAGGAGTGTTATATGGCAAAGATACTTGTTGCTGAAGGTACCAGGGATGTTCCCATTGGAGCGATCATCTGTATCACAGTTGGCAAGCCTGAGGATATTGAGGCTTTTAAAAATTATACATTGGATTCCTCAGCAGCACCTACCCCACAGGCGGCCCCAGCACCAACCCCTGCTGCCACTGCTTCACCACCTACACCTTCTGCTCAGGCTCCTGGTAGCTCATATCCCCCTCACATGCAGGTACTTCTTCCTGCCCTCTCTCCCACCATGACCATGGGCACAGTTCAGAGATGGGAAAAAAAAGTGGGTGAGAAGCTAAGTGAAGGAGACTTACTGGCAGAGATAGAGACTGACAAAGCCACTATAGGTTTTGAAGTACAGGAAGCAGGTTATCTGGCAAAAATCCTGGTCCCTGAAGGCACAAGAAATGTCCCTCTAGGAACCCCACTCTGTATCATTGTAGAAAAAGAGGCAGATATATCAGCATTTGCTGACTATAGGCCAACTGAAGTAACAGATTTAAAACCACAAGCACTACCACCTACCCCACCCCCGGTGGCCACTGTTCCTCCAACTCCCCAGCCTTTAGCTCCTACATCTTCAGCACCCTGCCCAGCTACTCCTGCTGGACCAAAGGGAAGGGTGTTTGTTAGCCCTCTTGCAAAGAAGTTGGCAGTAGAGAAAGGGATTGATCTTACACAAGTAAAAGGTACAGGACCAGATGGTGAATCACCAAGAAGGATATTGACTCTTTTGTGCCTAGTAAAGCTGCTCCTGCTCCAGCAGCTGTTGTGCCTCCCACAGGTCCTGGAATGGCACCAGTTCCTACAGATGTCTTCACAGATATCCCAATTAGAAACATTCGTCAGGTTATTGCACAACGATTAATGCAATCAAAGCAAACAATACCTCATTATTACCTTTCTATAGATGTAAATATGGGAGAAGTTTTGTTGGTACGGAAAGAACTTAATAAGATTTTAGAAGGGAGAAGCAAAATTTCTGTCAATGACTTCATCATAAAAGCTTCAACTTTGGCATGTCTAAAAGTTCCCGAAGCAAATTCTTCTTGGATGGACACAGTTATGAGACAAAATCACATTGTTGATATCAGTGTTGCAGTCAGTACTCCTATAGGACTCATCACACCTATTGTGTTTAATGCACATATAAAAGGGCTGGAAACCATTACTAATGATGATGTTTCTTTAGCAACCAAAGCAAGAGAGGGTAAACTACAGCCACACGAATTCCAAGGTGGCACTTTTACGATCTCCAATTTAGGAATGTTTGGAATTAAGAATTTCTCTGCTATTATTAACCTACCTCAAGCATGTATTTTGGCAATTGGTGCTTCAGAGGATAAACTGGTTCCCACAGATAATGAAAAAGGGTTTGATGTGGCTAGCATGATGTCTGTTACACTCAGTTGTGATCACCAGGTGGTGGATGGAGCAGTTAGAGACCAGTGGCTTGCTGAGTTTAGAAAGTACCTTGAAAAACCTATCACCATGTTGTTGTAACTAACTCAATAGAAAGAAAAGAGAGCACCAAAGATTGAGGGGAGAAATCCTCCAGTGCAGGGGTATGAAGTGCAGGGGTATGAAGTGCAGGGGTATGAAGAAAAGACTCTCCCAGGTCACAATGATTCATTCTTATCAAGATATTTATGTATTAAACAGGTGGTTCGTTTTATTTTAACCAGTTATTTTTATTATTGAGTCTGTCCAGATATTTATAATGGACATTACTGAATTTTTGAAATGCCGATTACACCCAAATATTGTGCACATTTAATACTCAGACACCAGATTTTTAGCTCTGTACTCCTAATTAAGGGACATGTGGCCTTGCCTAGCCCTCTGGTGATAAGTACTTCCACTAGGAAATGTAGAATAGGTAGAATTGTGGTTCCCTAAAGAAAAGGACATAAAGGTAACCTGGATGGAACCTTGAAGTTCTGAAATTTAATCTCCTAAAATGTTCTCCTTAGATGTGAGAGAAGGAGAAATCAGGAAAATTAATTCTCGTAGGGGAAGGGCTTGAATTGAAGCTTTACTTTAGAATTTAACCCTGGTTTGAAATTTTCCATTATATGATCTTGGTTTATCAT